TTCAGATTAAGGCTCAATCATAGGCATACACTGTACTTCCTTAGTCTTGGATTTGTGTGTCTTCTCTTGCCCGTCCTTAACAAATAGGGCTACTCACATTTCCCCCTGCTATAGTGAGTGCTCACCAGTGTTCTAAGGCCAGCAGTGTTGCCCTTCGCTTCAGGGATTTTAAGACTTTTGTGCAAGTAGGCAGGCTAGTGCTTGCCTGTAATCCCGACATTTAGGAGGCAGAGGCAGGAATATCCAACCCTGTCTCATAAAAAAAAAAAAAACTTCTATAATGGACAGTTTCTTGTGCTTCCCCCTCAACTGCTGTTACTTCCTATCAAGGAAGTGTCTATGTCACAGTGGATACTAGGATTCTTTGCAGTCTTTTCTGAGTGGCTGATGGAGTTCCTGGAGAAAAAGCACACAGTTACTAGTTGCACCCTGACTCACTAGCTTATACTCTGGCCTTCATCAAATTTTCACCTATATTAGACGAAATGGTAAAAAAAAAAAAATTCTTTTTTACCATCGTACCAGTGCCTCTATTTCAGATGAGTATGTGTTTTTGTGCCCTCCCTTCCTGAGGCATTGTCTCCTTAGATTTTGGTTGTCCTCTTTACCTTTGTGATAACAAAGGTAACGTGAGTAGGATGTAGAGAACTAACATTTTAGTTGTGTACATTCTGGGACAGAAGCCAGAACCAGTGCACATATTTTTTTAATTGATGTAATACAGATAGATGAAGACTGAAAAGACCTGTGTAAGTTTGTTTCTTGGTCTCACCATGTAGCACAAACTGGTAGTCCAGGCTACCTTGAACTCTCAAGCCTCTTGGCTCAGCCTCCCAAATACTGGGATTACATGCATCCACCACCCACCTGGCCAAAACTACAAATTTGAAGACAAAACCAAGAAAACAGAAGGATTAAAGATGCTGAAAAAGGAAGGAATAAGTAAAATAATATTATAGAGGGAAAGAATTATTTTAGTAAACATAGGAGGTGGATGGTGAAACAAATACAAAAGAACTAAGAGCCAAGCACCAATAGCTACTTGGGAGGCTGATACTGGAAGGATCACAGTTCACAGCCAGGGCCAGGTAAATAGTTCACAAGACCCCATCTCCAACATAACCAGAGCAAATTGGACTGGAAGTGTGGGGCTCAAGAAGGAGAATGCCTGTTTTTATGCATAAAGCCCTGAGTTCAAAACAAAAACCTTTTTTCTAAAACTATGTAAATCAATTTTGGAACTTATAGGTCATCTGTTTACATAAATGTTTGGAATCATAAAATCCTCTTATTTTTGGCTGGGAGTGTGACTCAAGCAGTAACGCACTAGCAATTGCTAGTCCTTGAGTTCAAACACCTCAGTACTGCCAAAAATAAAGTCTTCCTTTTTTTTTTTTAAAACTGGAATAGACATCAGAAGTCACTTTAATCTTTGCACAGAGTTACCAGTCTAGTCCCTGGGCTGGGTCCTTTTATTCTCCTTTGTTTTTAAAGATATTTAGATAAATTTTTGAGAAGCTTTCAGATGCAATTTCCAAGTTAGAGATTTCTTTAAAATGTAGAGATTCATTTGAGTTTTATACTCTATTCTGTGGTGTTTGATTTGATATTAAAATGTCACCTTATTGGTTAAAATTGATGGCTTTAGAATGACATACCACATTTATTCCCTGACTTTGCATGTATCTTAATGCAAAGCTAACCTATACTCTGGTTTAAGAAGAGTTCTCTTTTTTTTTTTTTTTCCCCTTTTTAAAGAAAAGTGGAAGGGACCTGCTAGAAACTACCCTTGTCAGTGCTAAGATCTGAACTCGGACTCAGTTTAGAACTCTTGATAGTATATCATATATCAAATTTATGTCCCAGTTTATTTTAAACTGTGACTAAGTTGAGCATCATTCTACAAGACAGTGTTACTTGAAATATATTCAATATTGTTTAAGACATGCTGTATGGAATTCCTCTTTGAAGGTTGTCCTCAGTTCACAGTACATTGAAAAGATCCAAGTGGTCATGCAATGTCTGAGGTACCTATAATGTAGTATATGGCTGTGATGGTACAAAGTTGGGAAGGACTAACCTATAGCATCACATTAATTTAACTTTGGAAGCTAACATGTAGTTACAGTATATTCACATGGGGAAACCTACTGTGGACCATAAGCTCTCAGGTAATGAAGAGGAAAAAGAAAAGAAACAAAATTGGTCAACCTTGGCTGAATTTAGACTTTTGTAAAAACACAGACATCCTACATGTCCTCACCATTGTTAGAATCCACCAAATACAGAACATCTAAATTGATCTCTGAATCATTCCCACTGTCCTCCCTTTTAGATCACCATTTTCCTCTTGACCCCAAAGCACCTCTTGATTTACTACCTTCGTTACCATTCAGCGAAATATTAGGTCATTTTTAACCCATTTCCAAAAAAATTTTCTCCACTGATAAAGTGATGCAATGGATTATATACAGTCTATAACTCCCATTATGAATAACATGTTACATGTAGTTTTACGTTTGACTTTTTCACAAAAAATCAGCTTGAATTAGAAGCAGATGCTCTTTTGAATTAATAGGCTATATGAAAAAGGAAACATTAATGAAATTAATACTGCCATTAACAGATTATCATTTGTGTTAAGTAGAAATAGTAATAGCTAACAGCTAACGTTTGTAATAGATACTATTTGATGTGCTTCACATATAATAATTAATTTATTCCTCATAAACCTTTTGAGATGGATAACATTCTCATCTCTTTTTTTATAGTCAGGAAACCAAGGTTAAGTAATTCGCATCTGCTTTACATGTTTGATGAGGGATAGAACCACTTATACCCAGGAATCTGGGACTGAAGATGCTTTTAACTGCTGTATTATACCTGCCCCTGTTATAAGTGATTGATTATAAATTGCTATTATTCATGTTTTACAGGCTTAGAATCTTTTTGCTTTCAACTCTTACAATCACTGAATAAGTACCTACCTTATACTATTCCCTGTGCAAGTACCTAAGGATATAAAAAATAAGATGTGGCTTTTGATCACATAGAGCTAAAGAAGTTTATTAGCTTATAGTTTTCAGCTTGCTAAAGAATAATTTTTATTGTTTTTAGTCTGTTAGATTTTTATATTTATTTTTAATCAACATATCATACAATTTAGTCCTAACCATTTTTAAGTATATAGGTCAGTGGTGTTTATTAAGTATATTCACATCATGGTACAACAGATCGCCAGAATATTTTCATCTTGCAAAACTGAAACCCTGTATCCATTAAACATGGGGATATAAACATATCCCCATTTTCACCTACCCCAGTCCCTGGCAGCCATCATTCTAGTCTTGTTTCTTCTGTGAGTTTAAAGTGGAAATGTACAGTTTTTATATTTTTGTGACTAGCTTATTTCAGTTATTGTCTTCAGATTCATCCATATTATGGCATATATCAGGATTTCCTTTTAATATTGAATATTCCATTTTACATATATGTAGATAGATAATAGATATATGTCACATTTTCCTTATCCATCCATCAGTGGACACGGGTTGCTTCTACCTCTTAACTGTTAGGAATAATGCTTCTATGAATTGTGGAGTACAGATATATCTCTTTGAGACCTTGTTACCAGTTCTTTTGAGTATGTAGTAAGAAGTGAGATTGATGGATTATATGGCTAATTCTATTAGTAATTTTTTGAGAAATACCCCATTCCATTTTCCATAGTAGTCATACCATTTTCCATTCCCAGTAACAGTTCAAAAGTGTTCTAGTTTCTTCACATCCTTGTCAGTATTTTCTGTTTACAGTGATAGTTTTTTATAATAGCCATCCTTTATGATTGTGGGGTTTTGTCTTATGACTTTGATTTTCATTTCCCTAATAATTAGTGATGTTGAGCATCTTTCTATATGTTTGTTAGTCATTTGTATATCTCCATCAGAGAAATGTCTAAACAACTTATATGCCCCTTTTTTAATGTGAATATTTTGTTGTCAAGTTATAGTTCGTTATATTTTCTGATATTAACCCCTCAAATGATTTGTGAACATTTTCTCTCATTCTGAAAATTGCCTTTTCATTATATACTGTGTCCTTAGATGTACAGAAGTTTTTTAGTTTGATATAGTGGCATGTATCTGTTTTGGTTGCTTATGCTTTCAGTGTCATATCTAAGAAATCACTGCCAAATTCAACTTCAGAAAGTTTTTCCCTTTTTCTTTTTTTTTTCTTCCAGTACCAGAGTTTTGAACTCAGGGCATCACACTTGCTAGACAGGCGCTCTACCACTTGAGCCACTCCTCCAGCCCTCTTTTGTGTTAGGTATTTTCAAGATACAATCTCACGAACTATTCCCAGGGCTGGCTTTGAACAGTCCTCCTGATCTCTGCCTTCCAACTAACTAGGATTACAGGCGTAACCCAACAGCGACCAACCCCTATTTTCTTTTAGAAGTTTTAGGTCTTAAGTTTAGGCATTTGATCCATTTGGAGTTAATTTTTGTATGTGGTATAAGGTAAGGGGAGCAATTTCATTATTCTACATGTAAATAACCACTTTTTCCAAGAGCATTTATTGAAGAGACTGCTCTGATATGTTACATTTTCTTAAATGCTCTAAAATGATGAATTATAAGATTTCTCTATTTAAGGAATGTTTTTCCCACTGAAATTTAGCTTTAATATTTTTATATATGTAATATTTGTTACTGATATAGAATTTCAAGTTTTGTAGGTATAACAAAACTTGAACTCTATAATGAACTCGTAAGTGATCATTTAACTCTGATTTGTTTATGCCGTTTCCATGCTTATTTTTGGGTCAGCCTTCTATGATATATTAAAATTAAACTGATGTAAGTCAGTTTCAGAGTCATTATTTAAATGCCTCATATTTACTAAAACGTTTGTTCCTTTGAGCTGTTTCTTTACCAAAAAATCAAAATAAGGGAAACAACAGTCATTTGCATAATCTTTCCTGTCCTTTTATATTTGTAGGGAAGCAGCACGAGAATGTCGTAGAAAGAAGAAAGAATATGTGAAATGTTTAGAAAACAGAGTGGCAGTGCTTGAAAACCAAAACAAGACACTGATTGAGGAGCTAAAAGCACTTAAAGACCTTTACTGCCACAAATCAGATTAATTTGGGATTTAAATTTTCACCTGTTATGGTAGAAAATGGACTGGATTGGACACAACCAGAAAGACAAAATAAACATTTTATTTTCTAAACATTTCTTTTTTTCTATGCGCAAAACTGCCTGAAAGCAACTACAGAATTTCATTCATTTGTGCTTTTGCATTAAACTGTGAATGTCCAACACCTGCCTCCACTTCTCCCCTCAAGAAACTTTCAGCACCAGGAATCATGAAGAGACTTCTGCTTTCCAACTCCCACCCTCCTCAAGAAGTAATCATTTGTTTACTTGTAAATTGTTGGGGGAAAATGAGGAAAATGAAATCTTTTTTAAATGATTTCAAGGTTTGTGCTGACCTCCTTGATTGCCTTAGGGACAGAATTACCCCAGCCTCTTGAGCTGAAGTAATGTGTGGGCCGCATGCATAAAGTAAGTAAGGTGCAATGAAGAAGTGTTGATTGCCAAATTGACATGTTTTCACATTTTCATTGTGGATTATGTAAAATTATTAAAAGACACACCCTGTAAAATATAATTTTAGTATGATGTTGAAGAAATTAGGAATGAATTTGGAGAACTTTCTATGTCTGTTCTTTTCTTTGGTACTAAAAACCTTCTGTATTAACCACAGCTCTCCATAGGGCAGTTGTTGCTTCTTAATTCAGTTCTGTATGTGTTCATCATTTTTGAATACATTAAAAGAAGTAACCAACTGAATGAAAAAGCATGGCATTTGAATTTAAATTAAACTGTAGTAAGTAAAAGTACAAAGCTTATTTTAGTTATTACTAAATCTTAGTAAAAAGATACTGACTAGGGAACCAGCCCCTTGAGTTATATAACAAGGTTTTTAAATAAAAGTTTTTGTCCTTGCCTTCAAAGATATTTATATTGTCACTCATTTACTTAAAAGATACTTCTAATTTACTGTTGCCCTTTGCACTTATAGTGTGCCACCAATAGGAAAGCCTTTAAGATATTAAATAAAGCAAAACATTTGTTATAGAAAAATACCAAATTTTAAATCTTTTCCATGTTAACGTAATTTAACCAGAGAATCTCTAGCAAATTTTTTAAATGAAAGAATTTATAAGGATGTGGTTCTAGAAAGTACTGTGTTAGATATGCACAAGGAAAGTAATTTCTGCAGACATTTGAATGTCTACTATACTGCAATACTTGGATTGTCATTCTTGCAAAACACTTTTGTTTTCTCCTAAAAAGGGTAGTTAAACCTTTCCAAAATGCTATCAAAGCCTTTGTCATTTATGAAGAAGCTACCTAGTTTAATTGCTGACTATAATAGTCTGTGTTTATGTTTATCATACATTGTGTCCAATGATATTTTTAATTATTAATTACTCATTTTATTCACTAAGCCTGATACATGTAAAAGTTATCCTTTAAAAGAAAAATGAGACCAAGGTGGAGTTTTGAAATTGAAAACTGACATAACGTTAGATTATAATTTCTCATTTCAAAAGGAAATACATTTTTTAAAAGTTAAACTTAGAAAATGTTTTATATTTAGTCATGGGTTATTTAAAGTTGTAACAAAACATGCAGATATAAGTGCATGTTATTGGGGCCATTTTTAAAAGTAAAGAGTTTTAATTAATATTTGTAAATGTTGTATTTTTGTTTGTAACAGACCGTTGTCTTTTTTCAAGGATGAACAGAGTTTATGAAGGAACATCATTCTGACAATTGAATGATGTAGTCTTTATATTTGGACAGTTCACCAGATTCTCAAGAAGGCTTTCAAATGACTGTAAAGTTTGATGTTTGTCCTGCTGAGCAAATGGGGAAATGATAGCATAAAAACTGTTTGTATACCAGGATAGCTATGTCATTTTCTAAATTTGGTTGTGTAGAAACCAAGTAAAATCTGTTCACAAGCTGGAGTCATTTCACAGTGAGTCAAAATGTCAGATTGAACATTTTAAATGTCATACTATTTATAATAGTACATGAAAATTACCTGGAGTATAGCAATTTGTAATTTCTAAAGCTTTTTTTTTTTTTTTTTTTTCAAAAGTTGAGGCTTTCTTCTTACTTAGGAAGTTGGTGGTCCTCTTACTCCCTGATGAATCAAGGCAATCACATTTCTGTTAGCTGGGTGGATTTATAAGTTATGAAGACCTGGTCCTTTATACCTTAAGGATGATTGCACTGGTTTGAAATCAGTTACTTAATAGTAAGCTGAGAAATGTATTATGTTGCTAAATCTGCTTTAGACACTTAGATGTGAAGATTTCAGTTAATACAGATTGAAATCAAGCATCTTATGTGCAGGCTTTTTTTTTTTAATACGAGAATTAGACTAAAAAAGTGATTTGAAGGTTGTAGCTTGGAGAATCTTTACTAAGAAAATGATGTGATTTTTTTTTTTTTTAAATCTTGTAGCCAAGAACTTACGTGGCCACATTATCAGAAATAAATGTTTTTCTCTTCATATTGGCCAAAAGGGAATGAGTATGTCATCATAGGAATCTGTACATACGCTATTGATTTGCCTAGAAAATAGCAATTTGGTATTGCTCACTTTGCAAATATAGGGCCATGTGGCACTTTTATCTATAGGACAGATTAACTCTAATAAAAATGAAGTGGGGAGGGGTTTATTTTTGATATATTACTGCTAATGAGTTTTCAAGCTTTGATAGTGTTTAACTGAAAAGTGGTTTAGAAAGGGCTAGCTTCAATGTGTTCACATAATTAAAACAATGAGGTGAGATACAATTTTAAGTTCATTCTTTTTAAACTCAAGTACCATATTGGCAACCATAATATTGTCATAGGTGCTCTGTTTAGATACCAGGGGTGGGTGGAGAGGGAATTGGGGAAATGGCATTTGTGTAATATATGTGTACATATATACATACATAGTATATAATCTAAAGCTCTGAGAGCTTATAAGTCAGGAATGCTGAGTATTATAGTATACTGAGGTCAGATGAAACTTACATTTTTGTGTGTTCTATTGCATCCCTTCTGGTAGTTTCTATGACTGCATTTCTCCAGCACTCATGATTGATTTTTATCTTCAATTTTTCTTCCTAGTTTTTTTGTTTTTTTTGTTTTTTTTTTGGATTGATGCTTTTAAATATGTTACTAGTTACTTGAAAGCTTCCCTCCCTTCCCCCCAAAAAAAGAAAAAACTACTTGGTTTTTCTGCTTTGTCTCTGGCAGCTACAACAGTGGTAAGAACATTTTGAAAATAGCATTTGAAAGGAACCACTGACTTCTCAAAACTCACCCTGGGGGAGGAATTTTAGTGTTTTCGTTTGAGCGGAAATTTTGTCAGGAAATGCATTTTGATGGCAGGTCAGCAGCAGTGCTAGTGTCTGAAAGCACAATACCATTCAGACAGGCTATCCCATCAGAAGTCATCTGGCTAAAAGTTTATCTCTGTCTCTCAGGACTACTCCCTATTCTTGATTATTTGGGGTGACGTGGAATCATACAAAGGCTTAGGGTTTAGACACACACAAGTTTGTATAAATCAGGATGCTTTTACTTCCTCGAAGTGACTTGAATCTAGATGTCTTCTTTTTTGTAGTTAGTAAGTTTTTAATTCTGTGATCAGCCACAGCCAGCTGTTAACATAAATTGGCCTCTGTTTACCAAAGGCTGCATCATTTTGCAGGATTTAAAAAGACTAATATATTAGAAATGTGGCTACATGCCTTTTCAGTGACTTACAAAAGACTTTATTTTGTGGACTCTGTAACTGAAAATTTCTGGAATATTATTTCCCATGACCTAATACAAAAGTTGTATATTTATTTGGATTGTATTTACAGTAATTCTTTGTAAATGTTTGGTGTAACTTGCACTTTTAAACATGACCCACTTTGGGTATTAGTGACTTAGAAAATTCCCTCATTTAATTATCAATTGATATTTTAGTCTCTTCTCCTCTCTTCAGATCATACGACTTTTTTAATGGAAGCTTTTCATTGATTAAAATATCTTAGCAACTAAAAGCTAGCCTTAAAAGTGCTGTAAAAGCAAAATATGTGGAAAATAGATTTGATTATACCAGTTAAATTAAAAGATGGGCTCATGCTTTTTCATCATGGATAAAGATAGAAGAAAAAATAACTGAACAATATTTCCAGTTGTAAATGAAATTTTATCCTCACCCCAATTCTGATGGTATCTATAATATGCCAAAATAATCTAGAATAATAAGATTTTAGAAGCAATTAACTATTGTCATCATGGGAGATCACATGTAATAATCATTTTTACTGAATTATTTTCCTTTTAAATTGGCTTTAACATCAAAGAAATGCTGCCTGAATTTGACCGGTTTCAGTTAAGGGGGAAGTAAATTGTGAAGAATTAATGGAATCGATTTGTTCACTCAGTTGTACAAAGCACAACTAGAACTTTTTGTTTGGTAGGTCACATACATCTTGATTCCTTTAGATGTTAGTAATGTTGACTTTTTTAAAGTTGACTACGTAGTCACTGTGCGTATTCGGAACTGGTTTCCTTGACTTTCTAGAATCAATAATCAAGAGAGGCATCAATCCTTGAGGTGTTGAACATATCATGATGTTGAGTCAGTGTGGAAGAATTTCAAACAAATCAAACAGGGTGCTTAAGCTCCATCTGTCTCATCTGCTTATGATACGTTCTTACTGATTCGTGAATGTAGCTTAAGCCTTTGTATGTGTCCTCAGGGGGCAGACAAACTTAAGAGGGACCAGATAACATTTGAATGGAGGAATTATATATTTCAGGTGTTTTAGCTTGAAATTTATTTTTTAAAAAAAGAAAAACGAAAAAAAAATAGAACAAAGCCTGTAAAGCAAGTTGACATTATAAACAGGCAGAGTTGTTTAGCACAGAGAGAAAATATTGATCTGTCTGCATTCTGGTACTGTGGGTGCAGGTCCCAGCTGGGTAAAACATTTAAATGTTTAAAACATTTAATTTAAAACATTTTAAATTAGTCTCACCAGCAAGTTAAAGGAAAGAAAATAATCTACAGGAAGTATCTTTTGAGAAGGGTCAAAATTGAAATTTTACCTACTTTCTAGACATTATTGAATACCTGCTTATGGAGGTGTGGCATTTCTAAGCTTCTGTCTGAGAGGCATCTCAGAGGTGTCAGAGTCAATATGAGTTTAAAGAAGAAAATCCTTGCAGATAATGATCCTATGTTAATTCTAAGGCCACGTGAAATGATCTATCGTTGTGTTGGGAGGTTTTATTTTCTTATGTTTTAAAATTAAATTGGTAAATGCTTTATAGATGTATTTTTATCCAGGTGCCACTCCAATGTATATGTAATAAAATTATTTATATTAAAAAGTGGGAAATAATTTGTCAACATTTTTCTGTGAGTATAGATTTGTTAGGAGTGGCAAAACAGAGTGCTAGTTAGCAGTTTCTCATGTAAATTGTCCTTGGCTGATTTGTACACATCACTTGTAATCCTCTCCTTCCCCAGCAAAAGGAATTATTTCTAACCCAGATGTGTCACTTGAAACTTTTTAGAAGTAAAATAACCAGGGAAGTTCCTAGAAAGGTGTTTGGTTTTTTATTTTTTTTCCTTAAGGATTGGGATAAAGATTACCTCCCCCAAACTATTAGCACAAAACAGGGTATCAATTTTTTAACTCTGATGTTTCTATTGGAGTTGAATACTAAATAACTACAATGAGGGAAATACATTTTAGTAAAATTCCCTACATTCTACAGACATCCCTGTTTCAATTTTTTTACCAAAATTTTTTGTGCTTTATGTATAAAGGAAAAAAATGTGCTGAGTTACAATGCATTTTATTAACACCATGTACATATTAGCTGCTTTGTGTTCAGAATGGTAGCAATTGCTTTGTATATTGAAGTGATCCTTGTGAATTTGTGAAATATTGTTATAAAGTGCTTTTTCTTACTGTAATCTTTGTGGTATCAACTGTCATAATGCCGTTTTTACACAAACATTTATGTGCAGTCACATAAACATGCTTTTAAAAACTCTGTAAGTCTCTTTTTTGGGGTTTGGGAGCTCCTTATATTTTATTTCTTGCTAGTAGTGTTAGGTCTTGTTTCCTTGAACTTAGGTTTATTGATTTTGTTAAATGAGAATAGCTTGTGTTGCATAACAATAGAAAATTGTAACTCAAGCAACAAGAGTGTGTCCTCAGTTACTTAATCTTACTGAACTCCACATTTTTAGCATGAGATTTCTTTTTTTCAGTAAGATTGAACAGTGCCTGTTTGAGGATTTGAAGATGTTCCTGCCTGTTGAAATAACCAGTGGAGACATATGACCATCTGTCTCTCGTGTCATATAAAATGGAAGGGAAGCTGGAGACTGGTCATACACTTCAGTCTTCTCAGCACTCCGGAGGCTGAGACAGAAGGATGAAAAGTTCAAGGCCAGATTGGGCTGCATAG